GTTCCAAAAAAAAAAAAAAAAAAAAAAAAAAGGTTACAGCATGGGTATATAAGCTAGAAGGCCTTTATGAGTTTTGACTTGAGTACTGTTGAGGATATGTCCTTTCTGAGTTTCCTTTTACTTCTTCCTTTCCTCTTCAGAGGGAGACTAGTAGTGGTGAAGAAAAGAGACGAGCAAATAGAAGATAGCTCTCTCTCCCCTGTACTAACTCCTTTGCTCACCCTGGGAAAACTGCTTTCTCAGGCCATGGCTGTAAGCTCCTGCTCCCTCAGCATCTGTGCTGCAGCACTTCTCTGCTTCAGCACAGGCGCACATGTCCTGAAAGCACTTGGCAGCAAGTCTAGGGACTTGGGTCTGGCTTCTCACTGATACCTGGCTCAGCCAGGCGTCCTTAGCAAAGTTTTCAACTTTTTTGTGCCTGTTTTTTTTTAATGTCAGTGTATGTGTGATAATTATGGGTTGCATCATCTTGAAAGTACCCTTGTGAGAATTACATAAGCTGTGGAAAAGTGAGCCAAGTGGCAAGCAACATCCTCCCTCCATCCCTCCTCACAGGTGGGTTCCACCATCATGCCCATGTCCCCAGACGGGCTGTTTCCAGCAGTTGGCATGCATTCCATGGGTGAGGAGGTGCGACTGCACCTCAATGCTGAGTTGGGCCATGAGGACGACAGTGTCATGATGGTAGACAGTTATGAGGATGAATGGGGCCGGCTGCATGATGTCAGAGTCTGCGGGACAGTAAGTAAGGGACAGTGGGTGGTGGGGTGGAGGTGGGGAGGGCTGGGCCAAATGCTGTGGGCACACTAGCATGTCTCAATTGCTTCCCATGGCAAGGAAGGACAATTCCTTTTGTGGCACTCTGGGAAATGGAGTTTTGGGCAGGCTAGCCTGAGGCCTTGACATGATCATTGGAGTCCATATTTGTGTATTCTCTCTCTCTTTCTCTCTCTGTCTCATATTGAGGCCCAGGGCCTCTGCATTGAGCTATATCCTCTGGTTTTTTTATTTTTTATTTTTAGACAGTCTCACCACCAAGTTACTAAATGGCCCAGGCTGGGCTCGAACCCGGATTACAGGCAGGCAACATCACATCTGACTACATCTCTGTTCTCTTCAGTGCTGATTCCCATTCTTGGCTTCCCTTCCCTTCATTTGAGAACTCAGGTTAGCTGTTGACTCTTAGAATGAGTGGAACCACTCCTTTGTTCTCTTTAGCTCCTTCAGTATCTGGTGTGCTCTGCCACCCCATGCCCTGTCTTCAAGGGGATGGGGGTTGCTTTGGAGGCAGAATTCCTGCATTTCCCTCTGTCTTGATCCCAGGTGAGCTGGTCTGGGCTTTCCATTTACAGTGCTGTGGGGCAGGTGTGGTCAGAAACCCGACATGTTCAGGGGAAGGTTCTCAGATATCTTTCTTGAGTAAACTTCAGTGTCAGTCTCTTTTCCCCCTGCATCTTACAGAGGATGAGAAGGAGACAGATGAAGAATTAGGAAGAATCCTTGAGTCTCTGAGGCTTTCTTTCTCTGTCTTCTCCCTAGACCTATTTATTCTCTCCCTGGGATTTTTGTTGTTGTTTTAGTGTTTTTGTTTTGTTTTGTTTTTTGAGACAGGGTCTCTATATAGCCCAGGCTGGATTTGAGCTTGCAGTGATCCTCCTGCCTCAGCCTTCCAACTCAGCCTTCCAAGTGCTGGGATTACAGGTGTGCACCACCACTCCTGGCTCTCCTTGGCTTTTAGAAGCACATAGACCTGGAGAGAGGCTGTCCTCCTGTTGATTCTGTGCCTTGTGGTGTGTTGGGAATGCCTGGACACTGAGTTGGGTCTGGCACTGACCTCTGGTGGGCTGCTCAGGCTCCCCATTTGGAATTGCCCCACTGCTGCCTGCTTGCTCTCAGCCTGGCCTTTTTCTCCACCCTCTGGCCTTCCAACCCTGGCTGTTTTCTTTTTCTTTTTTTTTCTTTTTGGTACTGGGGATTGAACTTGGGACCTTGCACTTTTGAGGCAGACTGCAGAACCACTGAGCTAAATCCTACGGCCCAACCCTGGCTGTTTTCGTTTTCAAATCAGCATTGGATAGCAAAACAGAAGCAGTGGGGGGTGGGACTGGGTTAGGAGGGAGTCCTACCCCCTGTGGAGTTCAAGGTAAGTTGAGCTCAGGGAAAATTGCAGAACGTGTGCTCTCCTGCTGCTTCCGATGTGATGCATCCATTCTAGCCCTAAGGTCTGAAGGTTGCCATGGCTGTGAACCAGAAGCCCTAAGACATCCACTCCTTGACTGCCCTCTTGTTCTTTTCTTTTCCCCATCTACCATTATTTTTTATAACATCTATGGGGTTGAACTTGGTCCCAGCCAGGGCGCTGTTCCAGGTCTCATCTCTGATCTCCCCTTAGGAGTTTTTTCCTGGCATCCTTTTCCTGGCTGGACCTGTCCCCACTCTGCTCCCAGCTCCTCCCAGACATCTTTTCTAATTGATGCAGAATCCTGGAGACATTTATAAATAGGCTTCCTTACTCTCCACCCTTCCCCCAGTGCCCTCAGGCCACTCACTTAGAAATTTTTTCTTTCTTAGACATAAACTGTTGAGTTTGGCTCACTCTCAGACCCTTAGCCCAGCTGGCAAAGTGGGACCATTGCTCTTGAGCACTTGCTCCTGTAGGGCTGACTTGGACTCGAGACTCTTAGGGGATGTGCCCCTTCTAGGTTGCCAGCTGTCCCTCTTTCATGTGAGGTGACTTACCTGATTTCCTTCATGGCTTTGGGCCTCCCCGCCCTGCGTGTCCCTGGCCTGTGCCCTCCTGTCCCTTCCCACCGTCCACGGTGTTTCTCGCCCAGCAGTCAGAGCTATGTCAGTCTGAAGGCGCCTGGAAGAGGTCATTTGGGCCATTCCTGTGCCCTCTTTCTAAACCTATCTAGCAGAGTTGTTTCTCCCTTTGGCCTTTCTGTTTTTTTATCCCTCTGAGTGGCAGAGAGGGATGGATCCAGGGGCCCTGGTACTGTTGCAACCTGTTTCTCTTGGCCAGGATGATGTTCTCAGCAGAGGACCCTAGTACCAAGAAGGTTTGAGAGAGCCTTAGATCTAACCTAGGCAGGATTTCTCAGCAAGAGATTGTTGGCATTTTAGTTGGGACAGTTCTTTGATGTGTAGGACATTTGGCATCCTTGGCTCCCAAACACAGGATGCTGGTAACCCCCTCAGCATGCTCCCATATTTTTAAACACCCTCTTCATCTGCTGTTGATGAAAAAAGAATCCCAGAGAAAAGTGAAGAGACTTGTTCAAATGTCAGTAGCTAATTAGCAGCTAGAGGAGGCCCAGATATTCCTCTGACCCATATAAACTGCCTTTTCCACTAATACTGATGGTCCTTGGCTTATGGTAATTTGATTTATGAATTGTCAACTATGATTACGTGAAAGCTGTGTGCATTCAGTAGAAACCAGACTTTGAATTTTGAACTTTTCCTGAACTAGTGATATGTAGTACAATATTCTCTTTCAGTCCTGGGCAGGGTCCGCAAACTCTAACCCAGACATAACAGAGAACAACAGATAGTCTACAGTGCAGTGTTGCCAAGCTATGGTGTTTGGTAGGTTAGATATTATAAATGCATTTTTTTTCATGTAGTATGTAGTTCAAACTGGGCTTGAACTTACTGTGTTGTCCAGGCTGACCTTGAACTTGCAGCAATCCTCCTGCTTCAGCTTACCAAGTGCTAGGATTATAAGGGTGCGCCACCATGCCTGGCTTAGTAAATGCATTTTTTACTTAACCACTTATCAGTCCAATTATTTAAATACAAGAGGACCAAAAATTGCATATTTTTCATTAATTTTTATAAGATAATATAATAGGAAATATAAAAATGACAATTTTATCAAATTTATTCAATATAAGAATTGACTGGATGGGCTGGGGATATAGCCCAGTAGTGCTGCACCTGCCTGGCAAGCACAAGGTTCTGAGTTCAATCCCCGGTACCGGAAAAAAAAAAATTGACTGGTTGACATGACACCTGCCCAGAGACGCTTGGCTTGGGATAGTCAGTATGTAAAGAAATGGGCTGCCCGAGTGATGTTCAGGGTAAACTGTTAAGTGGGTAATGATATTTGGAGCTTGTCACCTATGGTAAGCCAAGGGCATCTGCATGTTCTCCCACATTCTCCCCAAGCTCACTTCTCAGTGGCAAGTCCATCTTTCCACCACTCCCTTCCTCCTGAGATGAATCTGGACTTTCTACATTTAAAGTCCTATTCCCCTGAAATTCCCTTGTCTAGTGTATTTAACCAAGGCCCTTCTAGGTGAGTTTAGTGGACTCACTTAGGTTCTTTTCCTCCCATCCCTTTCACTCAATGATCTCCTTTTCCTTTCACTATTGATCCCTGTATAAGGAAGAACAATTTCAATTTCTTTTTCTTCCTCCAACATTTTATTGTAAAAAATTACAAACATACATAAAAGTTGAAAAGGTAACACAGTGAACACCCTTATGCCTGCTCCCTAGATTCAGTTGTTAATATTTAGTCATAAGACCCAGGTGCAGCAGTGGATACTTGTAATCCCAGCACTTGGCAGGCTGAAGCAAGAGGATCACAAGTTCAAGATCTGCCTGGGCAATTTAGCAAGGCCCTGTCTCAAAATAAAAAATAAGCCAGGCGTGGTGGTGCACAACTGTAATCTTAGCACTCGGGAGGCTGAGGAAGGATTGCCACGAGTTTAAGGCCAGCCTAAACTACATAGCAAGACCCTGTCTCAAAAAACTAACCAAATAAAAAAAACCTAAAAACAAAAAACTAACCAAATGAATAAATGAATGATTGAATGCATACATATATATAATTAAAATAAATAAATAAAATAAAATGCGCTAGGGATATAACTCAGGCAAAAACCATGGATTCAGTTTCCAATGTCATTATCAAGAAGGAAATTAGTCATGTTTATTTAATCTGAATCTCTGTATATAGACAGATATGGCTCTTCAGTGGATTTTTCTTCATGCCTTCTATGACCTTAGTTTCTCTTCCTAAAGAGTCTCTCCTCCTGAGCTAAGAATTGCTGTTAATGGCAGAGCACTTGCCTAACATGTGTGAAGCCCTGAGTTCAATCCCTAGTACCACAAAAAATAAATAAAGCACTCTGAGGATGTTGAAACATTGCTGCCACCCTAGTCCTTGCAAAGTGAGGTCATGTATAAAGGGTGGGGGCTATAGGTACAGCTGGGGGATTAGACTCATTCTAATTTAATTCCCTGTCGGAAGCTCCTCTGACAACTCCTTGGTGACTGGCAGCAGCTTTGGTACACAAAAGGAGATGAATGAAGCCCCACCTTCCTGGGGGTCCTCCTCAGACCCAACCCCGGAGACCCTGTTGGGGCCTGAGCTGGCTGGTGAGGAGCATGTACTTGGTTCCTGTTTCAGTTGCTTTTGGCCCTCTGGCAAAAGAGCCCTCCTTGGCTCCTGTCAAAAAGGATTAGGGGGGCCTGGGGTTTAGCTCAGTGGTTCCACCGCCTGCCCCACAAGCGCAAGGACCCGAGTTCGATCCCTGGAAACCCCCCCCCCCCAAAAAAGGATTAGGGTCTCTGCTGGCAAAGGGAGGAGGGCAAGTACCACAGGGAGGAGAGGTAAGGGAGGGTATGGGGTATGGAGGCTCTGCACTCTGATCTGCAGCCTCTGCTTCCTGGTATCTAGTCCACTGATGAGAGGAGGTGGGGCTATGTTAGGGCCCCAAGGAGAAGGTTCCCGCTGCCTCCACCAAACAATGCAGAGGGATGTTCTTGTTGACTGGACCCCAGGGGTGTGTGTGTGTGTGTGTGTGTGTGTGTGTGTGTGTGTGTGTGTGTATGTGTATGCGGCGCGCAAGGAAGTTTGACGTAGAATAACGGGGAGGGCTCACCTGTCCTTGTTGGACTAAGAGTCATTGTGGTTAGAGTTAGAGGCTGATAAGAGAGATGTCCTCTCTTATAATTGGTAGTTCCTGGGTCATCCCTATTTTTTTTTTTCCTGTACTGGGCATCCAACTCGACCTTGTACTTTCGAGGCAGGTGCGGCACCACTGAGCTAAATCCCCAGCCTTCTCTATTTTTTGATTTAAAGAGAGGCAGAATGTGCATCACCTACTGGGTTGTAGATTCCATGCCAAGCATGTAGCACTCACTTCATTTTAGTCTTTCACCTGTTTTTGGAGATACAAGCAATACTACCCTGTTTTACTGATGAAGAAACTGAGCTTTAATGAGGTAAATTAATTTGCTCAAGTTATTGCTTCCTAAGTAATAAGAATTACAATTTGAACCCAGATCTTTTGGATTGTCTATCAAAAAAACCAAGAGGCATCTGATCACAGATTGAGGGACCAGCATCAAGTCCTAGCAACTCAGGCCCTAAAGGTTAGCCCTAAAGGTAGTTGAAGGAGGGTAGGAACTGGCTGTGCTCAGGGAAGGATTTGCCTAGGAGGCTAACCCTACTCCACCCTCTCTGTGTCCTGAGAAGGCACCAGAGGGCTCACCTAGGATCTGGAGTAGAGCAGGTGATTTCGGTGGCTTCTCCCCAGGGGAGGGTGGATCTACTCTGGAAGAACACACCTTGCACAGAACCCCAGTCATCCAGGGTGTCAGCAGTGGGCCTGAGTGCTCTTCGGGTATGGATGGGATGGGTTTTGGAGTTCCATGTCAGTGCAGGTCTTCTTGGCCTTTTAGCCTTAGGAAGCATCCCCACCCTATCATAGACAAAACTGTAGCTGCCTTTGGTTTTTTCCCAAGGATCAGAATCTGGATCAACTGCCTTTTGGCTGTAGGACTGGAGAACACTGTGTTTCCTACGCTGAGGCCAGTTGGACAGCGTGGGTCAAGGGCAGCTGTGGGATCCCCCACCCAGTTCTGCAATGCTGGGTGGAGAGGATGGGCTGGGGGCTGCTTGGGCTGGGTGGAGTATAATCAAGCTAATCTGCACCAAGCCACACCCCTCCCTGCCTGCTGAGAAGACGGAGCCGGAGTCCAGGCTAAGGGAGCTCACTGAGGGCCAGGGACAAAGTGCAGAGTGCGACTGGCCATGGACTTAGTTGACCTCCTGTGTACCTCAGACACCCCTACCATGTTCCCCACCTCTCTTTGGAGATGAGGGGAGGATGGACTTCATGGGGAGCCAGGGCTAAGCAGGGGAACCCCCTTTCTTTTGGTGATGAGCAGGCAGGACCAGCCTTTGCTGGATACACATACAGGCTTCCATGCTGGTGCCGGCAAGCATAATTCCTTTCCTGTTCAGGCAGGAGTCCTGAGGTGGGTGGGAGAGGCCAGTGCCCCAAGGCTTGCCAGGGATCAATGGAAGAGGTCCCCAGGGAGCATAATTTTTGCAGAGCTTCTGGGGTGGGATTGTAGGAGAAAGTCTTGAGGGGCAGTTGGGATAATTACAAGGGGATTAAGGAATCCCAGGTGATGCTGAAGGTGGGGGGGAAGAGGGGATAGGGTTGAGTCATAGCCCCACGATTACCATGACAACTGATAAATAAATCCTCCCAGATTGGGGTTTGCTGCCCCATCATGCCCAGGCAGGACCATTATGAGCCGAAGAGCCCCGAGAACGCATCAGTCATCTCCTCTCTCCTAGCTCCCCACCTCTGCTCCAGACTGAAAGAGCAGCCAGGGGCTGGGAGCTGTGAAGTCTGCTTCATTTTAACCTCTCCCCCCACATTAAATGAGGGGTAGAGCTGGTCATTCTGGGTTCCTTAACAACTCCTGACCCAGTGATGAACAGTTCTGTTCACAGCCAACTAAAACAAAGACTTTGAGGAATTACATCAGTCCCAGTCCGAGACAGATAAGTTTCTGAGCTCATTCATATCTTTCCCCTAAATATCTGGGGTTGGCACCTGACTTCTGCATCCTCCAGTCCTCATGAAGCCCCTGAGAAGGTAGTCTGGTTTCCTCACAGCCTAGTCTTCACTGCTCTTCCTCCCTTTGCTAGCAGAGAAGGTGGTGGGCTCATCAGGAAAGGGATGCCCTGCCTCGAGACCCCAGTGTGGTTCCTGGCACTCCCTGCTGTCAGGATCGGTGCACCATTTTGCTGCTTTCTCATGTCTCCCAGAGAGCAGATGGATGTCTTGACTCAGTAGGAAGGCAAGGAGGCATCTAGCAAGGGGCTCCTTTTGATGATGCTGCCAACTTTGCGTCTCCACTGCATCCCTGTTCTTCCATGCCTGCCTAGAACTTTGAAGCCATATTGTGCCTCTAGAATCCTTTCCCTTTTAGCCAGGGAAACTAATGCCCAAACTGCCTTGGGACCAGGTTTCCATGCTGGTGTTAGCCTGCTCCTCACCCCACCTGGCTCTTCTCCCACAGCTGCTGGAGTACTTGGGCAAGGGCAAGAGCATCGTGGATGTGGGGCTGGCCCAGGCCCGCCACCCGCTGAGCACCCGCAGCCACTACTTTGAGGTAGAGATTGTGGACCCTGGAGAGAAATGCTACATTGCCTTGGGCCTGGCCCGAAAGGTGAGCATGAGTGCTGGGCTTTTTTGCTGCAGAGCTCCTCAGCTCTGGGGCTGTAGGGATGGGGCCAGGAAGCACCTGGGGAACCTGGAGTAGGGACACAAGCTGTGGAGGCTCTGAGGCTGAGACAGAAAATAGCTGTACATATAATATGCTGTGGAAGAGTACCTGTTACCCAAGACATTATACCACACATTGAGGTCTGGGTGTGTGCAGGGCACCCTGGAGTCCTGGCCTTCAAAGCTGAGCAACTTCCTAACCTTCCCCACTTGTATCACCCCAGTGCCCTCGAGATGTGAGAGGCTCATATACAGCTGTCTGTTCCAAAAGATCACAGATTCGGATGCCTGTGTGTGTGTGTGTGTGTGTGTGTGTGTGTGTGTGTGTGTGGTACAAAGGGTCAAACCCAGTGGTGCTCTACCCTAAGCTACATTCCCAGCCCTTTTATTTTTTATTTTAAGACAGGATCTCACTAAATTACCGAGTATGGCCTTAAACTTGCCATTTTCCTGTGCTTCAGCCTCCCTAGTGTTGGGATTGCAGGCATGCACCACTATGCCCCATTTCCTGTCTTTTGTTTTGTTTTGTTTTGTTGAGATGGTCTCACTGTGTAGTCCAGGCCACCCTTGAACTGGCTTTGTAGCCTTGGCTGGCCTTGAACTTGTGATCCTCCTGTTTCAGCCCCAGCTCCCAAGGGCCAAGAGTATAGTGCACTACCAAGCCTGGCCTGTCTTCTTTTTGTATGTGTGGTCCTATAGATTTTCTTTTTTCTTCTTGGCATAGGATTATCCCAAAAACAGGCACCCTGGCTGGAGCAGAGGGTCTGTGGCTTATCATGCAGGTGAGTAGACGGCTGCCCCAGGAGAGTGAGTTGTAGGAGAGGAAAGAGACACAGAGACCATTTTCCTGGTCCCTCATAAACAGCCTCTTCTTTCCCCGTCCCAGGTTTCTTGTGCTTTCTCCTCATCTTTGTTTTCCTCCCAGCCTTGAAAGTTAGGGGAGCAGGACAGGGGTGGGAGAACTGGGTCCAAACTGGACATTTCAGGCCTCTGAGCTGGCTCCTTGTACGCCCTTCCTGCAGATTTGGAGATTCTTCATTTTCTTTTTTTGGTCTGCTTGGTTTCCTTTAGGGCTTCCTTGAGAGGAGGACTGAGCTTTGGCTTCTGGTACCACCCCTCCCCTCTCTTGCATACTCCCTCCACATCTCCTTTCTTCTGGCCAGTTTTCCCTTGGGCTGATGGGGATTGTGTCCTTCCCCCTTTTTAATCTGGTGCCCTCTTCCCACATCTGTCTCCAAACTCGGGGGTTACATTGTCAGCTCTCCTTCAAGTGTCTTCTCCCCTCCCTCCAACAGATGATGGGAAGATCTTTCATGGCAGTGGTGTGGGGGACCCCTTTGGACCACGCTGTTACAAAGGGGACATTATGGGCTGCGGAATCATGTTCCCCCGAGACTATATCCTGGACAGTGAGGGTGAGTGGGGTCTGGGGCAGCTAGGCTGCTCAGGGGCATAGAGTGGGGGGCAACACAGGAACTCAGGTTTCTGGTTTTCTAGGGGATAGTGATGACAGTTGTGACACAGTGATCCTGTCCCCAACGGCCCGGGCTGTCCGGAATGTTCGGAATGTCATGTACCTGCACCAGGAAGGGGAAGAGGAAGAGGAAGAAGAGGAAGAGGAAGAAGATGGGGAAGAGATAGAACAGGAGCATGAGGGCAAGAAGGTGGTGGTGAGTAAGCAGATGATGGGGCTTGTTCTAGAGCTCCTAGGTGGGCAGGGGCTGACAGCTAGTAGGAGCAGGACTCTGGGACAGGGCAGGCAAGGGCAGGGTCTGGTGGGAGGCTGTTTCTCAGGCTCAAGTCTCCCTCTCGTGGTCACTTCCCATATCACCCTAAATATCTTCTCAAGTCCATGCTAGGGGTTGGGGGGTGAGAGGTCTCCGGCCTGTGTAATCCTCAGAGGAGAGGCTGGAGCCGCCTCCATTTTTCTTGCCTCCATCTCCAGGTTTTTTTCACCCGGAATGGCAAGATCATTGGGAAGAAGGATGCTGTTGTACCTTCTGGAGGCTTCTTCCCCACCATTGGAATGTTGAGCTGCGGGGAGAAAGTCAAAGTAGACCTGCATCCCTTGAGTGGCTAGGGGCTTCCCCTTCAGAACCTCCCCTTCTTCCTCTGCAGGGCCAGGTGCCCAGTTCCTGACTTCCCCCAGGATTGGTTACCCAGTGGGTCCTGGAGGGTGCGTGCTCTGCCCCTACCAGCCCAGGCCCTGTCAAACTCTGCCTTTCTGACCTGGTGCCACCTTCATCATCAGTTCCTGAGCCTGAGTCCCTGGTTGGACAGGAATGGACCCAAAGAATGGTGTTGATATATTGGTGCATCTCCCTTGCTTTGCCATGGGCACCTGGATGCCTCTTTTTCTCACTGGCCCCATGTAAGTGGAGAGGAGTGAGCTCCCCACCCCCAGCTGCTATTTGGGCATCAGCTTTGCAGAGGCTGGAGGAGAGTCTTCTCTGTCCCCTCACCACAGTATTTTTCCCTGAACTCTCCTCTCTTTTGTTCATCGTGTGAACCAGTTGCTGCTGTCCTTCCCCCTGGCCGGACTAGGGGGCCACCCTTGGGCCATCTTTCTCCTTTACTGGCTGCTGCCCCAGTCCTTCAGGGTCTCTATTCTTTCCCTTGAGAGCTGGCTTCCCCAACCCCCGCCCAGTCAGGCACCATCATCCCACAGAGAGCCCAAGTCTCTGGCTCCCTGCCACCAACACACACCGATGGTTTCCCAGTGTGTTTTTTGTTTTGTTTTGTTTTTTGGTACCGGGGATCGAACTCGGGTCCTTGCGCTTGAGTAGCAGGCGGCGAAACCACTGAGCTAAATCCCTGGCCCTTCCCAGTGTGTTTGCAAAGGGAGGGCTGTTTCTGTGAGGTGGTGTGGGACTGGGGCCTTTGCTCCTATCTCTCTGTCCAGCCGTGGCACTGTTGTCCCTAACTCCCTGGGGTGATGCTGAGGCTCTGGGGCATGTCTCATGCTGTGGTGAGCTGGCCCAAAGAGGCAGCTCGGCCCCTCGCTCCTCTTTTCCTGTCCTATCTCTACCCACCCTGCACTCCAGCTTGCTGCTTGTTCCAGTTGCCTGTTTGCTTCAGTGTTTGATGCTAGCACTTACATAGACTCGTTTCTCCTTGTACCCCTTAACCCCTGAGCCCTCCTTGTAACAGTGACTTCTGCAGGGAGGAAGAGGGAGCAGGAGCTGTTGGCCTCAGTTTGCACAGAGTGGGTAGAGCCAGTGGGTGTGCCACGGTGCTGCTGGAGCGCCCGTGGCTGTCCCTTCAGGCCCTGCACTATGATGTATGAAATGTATGTACAGATGAGAGATGTTTATAGACCAATAAAGACAGAGTTTGCATATTTATCAGTATGGCCAGAATGGGAATTATTTCCAGTTTGGGGGCCAGGGCCAGGGCCAGAGCCAGAGCCAGAAGGTGGGGGGCAGCTGAGGGCAGCTTGCTCCAGATGTGGACACTGCTAGGGCAGGGATGGAGGATACATGTTCCATGGGCTGGGATGCTCCCAGGAAGCCTAGGTATGCTCCTGGGCAATGGAGGCTTTGACCCTTCTATGAGTAAGATCTCAGCTCCGATGAAAGTTTATAGAAATTCTTTATTAGACAAAAATAGACTCTCTTTTTTTCACCTTATCTTTGTGGTCCCACTCTGATCTCTGCTCAAAAGGGAGGTAGAGGAGGGACTGACTTGCTCCCCTACCTCTCCCCTCTGTCCGCCATGCTGGGACCTGCAGCTGGGTGGAGCTGACAGGGCCTGGCTCCCCTGCAGGGCTGATGCTCTGCAGGTGAGGCTGTCCTTACCCCGCTTCAGGGCTTAACCGCTGATGCCTCCTCACCCTTCACGTGCCTGTCTCTGCCATCTGCTCACATACCAGATCATCTCATGGGCCCATCCACTTAGCTTAGCAGGCTGGGTGGGGGAAGAGCAATGGCCCAGGTCGATGCCTGCTCCCTTTTCTTTAGGGAGAGTGCTGGCTCCGGGGCACCTGGGTCCAGGCCAGGGAAAGTGAGGGCAGTGGGGTGCTGAGAATGGTGCAGTGTTGACTTGGCTCTGAGCTTGTGGCCTTCCTTCATTTTCTCTGGCCCAGTAGAACTTTGGTGATGAAGGTGACAATGGCACCTGCAGGTTGGTCTGGGTCAAGCTCCGCAAAGAGGTGGCACACATTCTCCCAGGGGCTTCCTGGCTTCTTGGCCACAAAACCAAAGATCCTAGAGGAACAAATCCAAGACGGGGTGGGGCCTTTGCATCCTTTCACTGGGGACTGACTGGCCATGGCTAGGTTGACTCATGCGAGGGCAGAGGAAGATGGAGGTGTCAGGGTCCTGGGAGGGAAGGGCTGGCCTCATGGAGGATGCTTACTTGGAGGTGGTGCCATCTGGGTTGGTCCATCTGCAAAAGGAGAAGGGCTGTGAGGGAGGGCAGCCCAGCCACGGCTACTGAAGGAGTTGAGCCGGGGCCAGCAGGATTCAGGGCTGGGGGAGGCTTGGAAGGAGGCTCACCTGTGGTCCTGAGGGTCAGTGCTAGAGAAGGTGATGCTGCTCACTGGGTAATGGCGGCGGAAGAAGAGCCTGTGAGGAGGCATGATGGGTAGAAAGCTCACTCTCAGAGACCTGGGCCCCCAGAGGCCCGGTTCCTTGGGGCAGGTGCCCAGACTCACTTTCTTTGGTTATCTGTTAGTGTAATCCCCTGGGCTGAGACCTTGAAGTGGACCATGGCTGGTGTTGGGCGAGGGCTGCAGCTCAGAGCTGCAGAGCTGGCCTTGGCCACGGCTTGAGGACCTGTCAGTGACTCTGTCTCCACTGAGGTCAGGTAGAGCACACTGCAGGCTAGAGGGCCAGGAAGTGGTCATTGAGGGGGCATGGCCCTGTGGACTTCCAGGTGCTCATTTTTCCCCCACCCCCCATCAGCTCTTGCACTTTCCCCAGCCAGTGATGTCAGAATGCACAGAAGTCACAAGAGTGCCTCTACCTGCACCTTGACGCAAGAGGTCTGCTGCTGTGCTCATGTTGCTGGGCACTGGAGCCTCTGGGGCCTCTTCCAGAGGATCTGGGGGAAATGAAGGCCAACAAGGAAGGTGAGAAGGAAGAACAGCGTTCCCTAGGAGCTAGAGAACTCCCTCTGTCAAGGGAAAGTTTGGAGCCAGGCTCTGGATTCTTCCTTGGCTGGAGGGGCTGGGCGAGGTGAGGAAGACAAATTACCCACCTTTATTGGGAATGCACAGGCAGCAGGGCAGGGAGATGGGGGAGATGGAGTGCTGAGAGACCAAGGCGGACAGGCTGCCTGTGGGAGAGGAGGTAAGAAAAGTCCTGGGTGCCTCCAGTGTTCTCTTCCACCCTTCCAAATTCCTTTGGCTTCTGCCGCAGCCAGCCTGGTGGAAGCTTCCCCATGTTCGGGCTTCTCACCAAAGTAGGGCTCACTGGGACAGCCTTTGATCTTCACCCCTTTGGGCCCAGTCTCAATGAGGAAATGGCGGACCAACTGTTCCAAGGGGTCCCCTGAGGGGAGGGGAGAGGAGAGTAAGGCTTTACCAGGTCCCAGGTTCTTTAGCTTCTCCCTTGATGGGACTCTTCTGAGTAGCCCCGCATCTTGCCTCTGCAACTTCTTCCCACCTCCTCCTGCCTCCTTGGGGCTTGGGCATTCTGTACCTTTCCAGGGCTGGGCACTGGGTGGAGGTGTAGCCACCTTGAGGGCCAGCCCGTAAGCTCCTTGGAATGAATGACTGTCTCTGATCAGGAAGGCTCCAGGGTCCTTGTCCTTCAGCAGGGCAATGGCTGTAGGGTAGTAGAGACGGATCAAAGGGAAGAGAAGTTGGCACAGTGGCTGGCTGAGCCGCATGCATCCTTCTGCTAACAAATTTCTAGGCCTCTCTGGCCCTGATGGCTATAAGTGTGGGAGGAGTCTGGAGACAGAACTTTATTATTATTTGTTTGTTTGTTTATTTATTTATTTATTTGAGACAGAGTCATGCTACATAGTCTAGGCTGGCCTCAAACTTGTGATCCTCCATGGGGCCGGGGATTTAGCTCAGTGGCACCAAGCCTACCTTGCAAGTGCAAGGTCCTGAGTTTGATCCTGGGTACCCCCCAAAAAACAAACCAAAAACAAAAAATAGGGGCCAGGGATTTATCTCAGTGGTGCTGGTACCTGCCTCAAAAGTGCAAGGTCCTAAGTTTGATCCCTGGTCCAAAAACAAAACAAAACAAACAAACAAAAAACTTGTGATTCTTCTGCCTCAAACTCCTGAATGCTGGGATTACAAGCATGTACTGCCATGCCTGGCCAGGCAGGAGCTTTGACAATGTTGAGTCTAACCTTCTTGGGCCCAAAGCCCAGAATCACCTGCTGGTGAGAGATTTGGCCAAGGTAAACAAGCTGAGACAGGAGGAGCCAAGGGCTTCAAGTATGATTGGATTTACAAGCCAAGACAGAAGCCCTGGAAGTTAGGGCAGGATGGGAAAAAGCTGGCTTCTTACCTTGGTCACGGGACAGGTGTGGCTTGTACCAAAATTTAGATGTATCCTGGACGAACTTGACATTGTTTTGGCTTTCTTGTGCAGGGGGCTCTAGAACAGTAAGGAGTGAGTTCAGATCCCAGAATTCACCAGTCCCCAGTTCCCCTCTCTGATAGAATGGATTCTCTCAAAGTTGCCCCACCCTCTCTCAAGGCCTCATACCTGGGGGTTGGGTGGCATTATCTGGAAGCAGAGGTGCAAAAGTGACATGGTGACTGGTGCCTCTGGCTGGTGGTGATGCCTGCTCTAGGCCCCAGGGTCCTGGCTGTTGCCCAGGGCCAGGCAGATGGCGTTTTTCAGGAAGTGGAGGCTGAGTCGGGCCATTGGTATCATAGGATGTGGCCAGGGGAAAGGCAGGTGTGGGTGAGCTCGGAGGTGGCTCTGGGCTGGCCACAAGCCAAGGCATCTGTGTAGGCACAGGGGTGAGGGGGGACCCATCTGGGCTGTCTGGGGGGCCTCGAGGTCCCTTCCAGGGGGCATGGCGAAGGCCAGGCAGCGTGGTGGGCACAGGGCCCCGAGGACTGGCACTGTCTGAGTAACGCCCTGGGCTCCTTTCCTGAGGCCAATCCTTGGGTGAGCTGGGAGAACAGGGTAAGGAGAAGGGGCTGGGGCCCCGAGGCTCTAGGGCACTTCTTGCTGGCTGCTCAGGAGCCTTTTCAGGGCCTCCCTGGGAAATAGGGGGCAAGGCCTCACTGGGACTCAGTCTCTGAGTGGGTGCCAAGGTGAGGGACCTGGTGTCCTGTTGTCGGGTGCTGCAGGGCGGAAGAACAAATAGTCAGCAGAGCCCTGCTTGGAGCTCCCCACCCGAGCACTGCCTGCTTGGAAACAGAAGTGGCAGCTTAGCCCAGGCCCTCTGTGTACCTCTCCTTGCCCTGGACTGGGCTGCTGGTGTGCAGAGGCGTGGAGGGACCAGACAACTCTGAAGAGGCGCTGCACTGTGCATCTCGGGGGGACCGAGGCAGTGTGCTGTGCCCACTGGGGCCCTCCCTCCAGGACAGTGGCTCAGGTGACTCTGGTGAAGGAAGAGGAGGGACTGTGAGCAGGAACTGGCTCTTGTATTGGCTGAGTATTTTGTACCCTGTACCTTCTTTCTTGGCTTCCCCATGGTCTTCTAGAACCTTCCTCTGCCTTAGGTATGTCCATTCCAGTGACCCTCACCTGTAGACGCCAAGGGTCCTGCTGAAGCCAGTGGGTATTTGTCCCCTCTTTCCTCCACAGGGATCTCGTAGCTCAGCTTCCTGGATTGTGGGTAGGATGGGCTCCCCGGGGAAATGGAGCCAGCCTGTGGTGAGTGTGCACCAGGGCTAGGATGCCCTCTGCCCTCACCTGGAGATCCACATCTATGAGGCAGCCGGCCATATGCTGGGCAGTAACTGGGAACTGCTCCTCCATAGCCACAGGTCACCAGGGAAGGGTACCCTGAATGCCCATACCTGCTTTCAGGGCACAAGGCATAGGAGCAGCCTTCATGTGCTTCCTCAGCTGCCTTAGGTGGCTTCAGGCAGCTGTAGTCAGGCACTGGGGCATGGTGATGCCCATAGGTTGGCACTAGGAGAGGCAGTGTGTGCCCAGGCCGCACTGGATGCAGGAGAGGCTTGCCAGCCTCGCTGGCCCACCCCTCCCCAGCTTCCCTCTCCAGCCGCAGTCCATAAAGGGCTGCTGTGGGTAGTGCCAGCTTCTCCTCACAGGCTGGGCATGAGCATAAGGCAGACACCCCAGGGTCCTCCAGGATCACCACCTCTCGGTAGCCTGGGGCACGGTAGCCAAAGTCCCCATTGGCTGGCTTTGCCAGCTCAGGTGGGTAGGGGTATGGCCCCTCAGACAGCGATCTGCAG